CAAGCAAAAAATCACAAAAAATGGCATAACCTATATCTAAACTCAAATAGCCAAATAAAAAAAGTGCTCAGCAAACCACTAACCAAACCAAAAATTCTCCATCCATCAAATAAAATCGACAGTGTAATCACTAAACTCCAAACAGGACACACCAACCTAAATAACCACCTAAAAATTTAAAAAAAACCCACTACAGGTAACTGCCCACACTGCAAACAACCAGAAACCCCAGAACACGCACTCATCCACTGCACACACTACCTAATACATCGAACCGCATTACAAACCACCCTCAATCTAAACAAGGCTCTCACTCTAGAAGCAATACTAAACCCACAAAATAAACTAGAAAACTTCAAGGCCTAAGGAGTATTCTTAATAAAAACGGAACTAATAAAACGCATCTAAAAACACAATAACCTACCAAATCAGAATCACATAAACAAACAAACATCCACCATACCCAGCTCCCTTAGTTCTCCTCCCCAACCCCATCAGCATCTATTCCAAATCTCAAGATTCCCAAATTCTATATAAGCAACCCCTAAACCCCCCTCTTGGGTTGCACAGACCACTTTCGCCCCTTTCGGAAACACATTAAATGGCCTGGCCGGGCCCGTGTGCGAAATACGCATCAGTCGGAAAGCGCACGTTAAATCTCCAAAGTAAGTAAGTAATCAACATTCCACAAGCGCTCTAAAAAATTGGTTTGGTAAACATTGTAAAATCGCCCGTGGGAAATACTTAGAGGCCAAGAGATATTTCAAACGTATTCAAACATTCCAAAATAAACAACGACTGGTTAATGCAAGTAAAAGTTATAAAAACTGCATTAATAAATTTTCAAATATGCATTTAAAAAAACTTCAAGGCAAATTATATGATGCTGAAAGAAATGACCCACGTTCATTTTGGAAACTTCTTAAGCAAAGGCAGTCTGGCGATGAAAACCTACCAGGTAGTGAATCATTATTCAACTTTTTAAAATCTTTAAATGAAATTTCGGCAGATGACGACTTGGGTATTGATAATCTCCGTGAAGTGAACATTTTAGAAAGCACAATACTTAATGCAGCTAGCTTTAACAAGAGGTGAAATTATAAACTGTGTGCAGAATGTACAAAATAACAAAGCTACTGGTCTTGATAAATTTAAATATAATTAAAGAATATATTTCAAACACCATTGGTGTCTTTATAAATATTTTTATCAAACTTTTTAACATGGTTCTTGATACTGGTACATTCCCAGAAAAATGGTTAGTAGGTGTTATTAAACCCATTTAAGGGTAACGGTGACCCACAAAACCCCGAAATTTACACACCTATCAACCTGCTAAGCTGTTTGGGTAAACTATTTACAGCAGTTTTAAATAACCGCTTGCAAACACTCATCGAAACGAACTCCATACTGTCGGAAGCTCAGGCAGGTTTCAGAAAGGGTTATTCTACCAGTGATCACATCTTTGCTCTATATAACCTCATGGAATTATTAAAAGCTAGGAAAAAGAAATTATTTCGTGCGTTTGTGGATTTCGAAAAACATTTGACACAGTTTGACGATCAGAACTTTGGCCCAAACAGTGTAAAGGTGTTTAAACCAGATGAATGTGTAAAGGTGTTCAATTTAAACCAGATGAATGTGTAAAGGTGTTCAATTTAAACCAGATGAATGTGTAAAGGTGTTCAATTTGAACCAGATGAATTGTGTAAAGGTGATCAATTTGAACCAGATGATTTGTGTAAAGGTGTTCAATTTAAACCACATGAATGTGTAAAGGTGCTCAATTTAAACCAGATGAATGTGTAAAGGTGTTCAATTTCAACCAGATGAATTGTGTAAAGGTGTTCAATTTCAACCAGATGAATTGTGTAAAGGTGTTCAATTTAAACCAGATGAATCTGTAAAGGTGTTCAATTTAAACCAGATGAATTGTGTAAAGGTGTTCAATTTAAACCAGATGAATTGTGTAAAGGTGTTCAATTTAAACCAGATGAATTGTGTAAAGGTGTTAAGTTTAAACCAGATGAAAGTGTAAAGGTGTTCAATTTAAACCAGATGAATTGTGTAAAGGTGTTCAATTTAAACCAGATGAATTGTGTAAAGGTGTTCAATTTAAACCAGATGAATTGTGTAAAGGTGTTCAATTAAACCAGATGAATGTGTAAAGGTGTTCAATTAAACCAGATGAATGTGTAAAGGTGTTCAATTTAAACCAGATGAATTGTGTAAAGGTGTTCAATTTAAACCAGATGAATTCTATTCGCATACTTGGTTGATACATGTCATCGATCCCAACTGCGCAGATCGATGCCCATGATGTCAATCACTGGATTGTCTGGTCCAGACTCGATAATTTACAGACCGCCGTCATATAGCTGGAATATTGCTGAGTGCGGCGTTAAACAACAAACAAACAACAAACAAACAGAAGGTGTACATTTGCGTTTCCTAAAATATCTTTTATCATTAAGAAAATGCACCGAGTCTCCAAATTTCATGGTACATGGGGAACTTGGAAGACTCTATCAAAATGAGAGTGATAAGTTTTTGGGCAAAATTACTTTTGGGAAATATCCTTTCTTGCATACAAGTTGTTATTTAATGACGACTTATGTGGAAAATGTAAAAATAAATGGATTACATATATCAAACGAACTTTTGATGAAGCTTGGCGAGTCTTACTTCAGTTTAGAACTTGTAATCATTATCTACCTATTGAAATTGGGAGATGGAGAAAAATACCTTTAACAGAAAGGAAATGCCAACTTTGCAAAGGTGATGAATTCCTTTATTTGTTAATTTGTCAATCTTTTTTACACATATTCTACTACGTCAAACCCAATATGCATAAAATGATTTTTTTGGTCAATAATTCACGACTAGGAACATTGGGAAAACTGTACAAATTCTGTAAAATCATCATGTCATTGTTTAAACCTATCAAGTAACTCCCCCTCTTTTTGAATTGCACATATATTGCTACTCTGCTAAATCTGTATTAATATGCTTGCATGCTCGGCCAAGATGTTTTTGTACATATTCTAAACTGATATGTATAGGTATTATGTTTTTGGAATAATTTTGTACTTCTGATGCCGCGGATAGCAACAAACAACAAACAAACACAGACAGACATATGTATTTTTACAGTCTCAATTCATCACAAAACTGTTACCCAATAAAATATACATGTATGTATGGGTCACTCCGTACGAAGTTAAGAGAGACTCTTCTAAATTGTATTCATTGGATTGTCTGGTCCAGCCTCGATTATTTACAGATCACCGTCATATAGCTGGAATATTAAACAACAAATAAACAAACGTTTTGGATAGGAGCGGTGCCACATCTAAATTTATCAAAATGTTTCTGTGAGCTCGGAACATAGGAAGAAGAAGATTTTTATTGGAGTGTCAGGTATTGTACAGTATAAAATTGCCCGGCCAGAATGGCCTATAAGACACTAAAGTCTAAAGTGCTAAATGAACACGCAGCTGTATGTGATATATGTGTATAATCTAGTTATTCTGTTGACAATGCCCCTAAAAAGTAGAAAGGATCTACACTTCTGGAAATGCGTTTACCAAAGTGAATGCGCAGTTCGACCTCGACTCCGATTGCGGTCTAAAATGGATGACGTTTGATTATTATAACTTACAAACAGAGTGGGGCAGGGGTGGCCCAGTCGTCTAAGGCGCCGCGATTCGCTGTGCAGAGTTGCGTCCCTTGGACACGCCAGAAACCTATGATTGTTGGTTCGAATCCCGGTTCGCACCGAATATGTTTCTAGGTTTGTCAGCACCATACCCGTGCTCGTGGGTTTCACCGAAGTGGTAAACGTCTAAGACCTGCATCACTTCGGGCTTTCCTCCTACATGAAGCTGACACGCCGTGATATAACCGGAATACTGTTAAAAGCAGTGTTAAACCCACCTCACTCACTCACTACAAATACAGTCAAGCATGATGTTAAGATCTGTCTCCGATTCAGCCATTAGGACAACATCATCAGCAAAGGCGAGTTGATGATGGAGTTGTCTACAGAGCCAACACATTTACATAACACATCATTAAACGTTGGACAAAAGGCAGTCCTAAACATCTGACCAGGGGGTGGATGAACCATCTAAACGAAAACAGCACGGAACGTTGTTATCAATGGACACTGTAGCGTCAAACATTTGACCCTTCACGTCGTGTGATAAACCTTTAATGTGGAATAAACATTACTCGCAATGCATATCGACAGTCAGAAGCTACACGTACATGTATTTGTAGTGCAACATGCGTGAGACGAGGGCGGGGATCGGGAAATAACACCGTCCATTAATATTCCATTGGTGTGAGCGTCGTATGTGTGTGAAAGGGGGCACAGCCAGTTTCATAATACAAGTCCATCTTCATTATCACATTCAATAGTCTAATTATATACGTGGTATTAACTGACGCATCTAACGTTGATCTTATAGCGTGTGTAAGTTTGGGACGTCTTCTGGCGCATGAAGCATGCGACTGCCTCTAACATGATCTAGTTGGCACAACTGACGTTATATGGAGACGGTATTCTTGCGTATGTACCGTAGACGTTATATGGATACAGTATTGATGCGTATGCATCATTGACTTGATATGGAGACAGTATTGATGCGTATGCATCATTGACTTTTCATGGCGACAGTATCCATGCGTATGCACCATTGATTTTATATGGAGACAGTATTCATGCGTATGCATCATTGACTATATGGAGTAAGTATCGATGCGTATGCACCATTGACTTTATATATCAGACAGTATTCATGTGTATGCACCATTGACTTTATATGGAAACAGTATTCATGCGTATGCACAGCTGACTTTCTATGAGTATTTATGCGTATGCACCATTGACTTGATATGGATACAGTATTCATGTGTATACACGATCATTAGAATAGGGTCTCTGAGACAAATTGTCACATACTTAGAAGATTTTTATCAAGGCTCCCTATAGAATAATGAACTCAACGACCCTTCCGGACACGGGACCCAATACAGATGAGGGTATATTCACCCTTGGTGTTGTGTATTTCATTGTATCCTTGCTGGTCATGTCCGCCAACGGAGTCGTCGTTTTCGTCGTCGTCAAGACAAAGGAGCTACAAATGCCAACGTTCTGGATCATCACTTGGATGGCCGTCTTTGATTTCCTCATGGGTCTGTATACCTTGGTTTTCATCGTTCCCTCTGCTTTTCTTAACCGATTTGCGTACTCTGATGCCCTAGTCGGACTTGCTTCTTGTTTATTTACCTATATATTTGGTCAAACGGTTTTCAACATTGCCTTGACCGTCATGGAACGTTGCATTGCCGTGTGGTGGCCATTGAGATACATCCATATTGTCACGTTCAAGCGTTTCATCATAGCACTGGCCATCTCATTGTTACTTAGTCTAATCCGCCTGATTTTGATAGCTGTCCCTGATGGCGATTTCTACTTCCGTGAAGATGCTGCATTGTGTATTGTAGACTTTGATACCGCGCCAACTGTAATTGCATCTGTTGGATTTCCAATCGTCACGCTGTGTTTGATTAGCATCAGTTTTGTAATGATCTTCATTAAGAAGCGACGTGTGAAGAAGCAGGTACACCCTGGAGGAATCCACGTGAGTCCAGAGGGTCAGGTCAAATTTCCAATGATGTGTCTGGTGTCTACAAGTGTGTTCTGCGTTTCGTACGTTCCATATACAATAGGTATTATTACAAATTACATGTCCGGAAAAGACAATGTGCCTACCACCCTTGTTCAGATACTTTCAGTGGCCTTCCTATCCAACAGCCTGTGGAATGTGTTCATCTACACCGCGACCTACAAGCCATTCAGGGAGGCTCTGCTCTGTCTGTTCTGCAGGTCATACTTCAGAAAGAAAAGGCAACGGGAGATATTTTCACTGCATTGATTACGCTGTAATACGTTTCGCTTTACCATTCGTTATGACTTTATTATTTTTCTGTCAAGTTGAAATATTGCTATCAGCTTTACTTTCAATATGTCATTGGAGAGATAACAACAGCAATAATAATAGTCATAATAATAATAATAATAATAATAATAATAATAATAAAAGAAGAAGAAAAAAGTAACAATAACAACAATAATAATGATGAAGATAATAACAATAACAACAACAACAACAACAACAATGATAATAATGTAAAATGTTATGGAAAATGATAAATACAAAAATGTTTGGAATAGGCCCGCTTACAGCCTGAGACGTATCCAGGCCAACAAACCTGATCTTGTTCTTTTTGATAAATCCAATGAAATCATTTATATCATTGCATTTTCTGTCCCCTTTGACACTAATGTGATTGACAAGATTGAGGAAAAACATGGCAAATATGCGGACCTCGCTTTCGAAATGTCACGCTTGCATCCCAAGTACCAAGTTGTCCGACTCCCCATTGTTCTCGGTGCCTTAGATTTGGTACCTCCCAATCTGTTGACTGACATTGGGAGAGTACCCGGATTTGCTGCCAAGAATACAGTCCTTCTGACAATCTTGGTAATGCAGAAGGCTGCAGTGTTTGGGAGTCTTCACACTCTCCGAAAAGTTCTCGGTGGGTTCGATTAGGAAGCGTTTCCTGGGAGAAGTCCCATTCGCTGTCTGGGCTGTGTGTAGAGGGGGCAAGGGACCTGAGCTGATGATGAGCCTAACCAGCCTGACTGTGCCAGGATCACCCAAACCGTCTTTGCTGTATTTTATCTGGTTAAAATCCGTACATATGTCCCTCGTTGTTTATAAACATGGCTGGCAGTACCTATATAAGCACTCACATGTTTTTGGGCTTTTTTATGTGTTATTTATTACCTTTTTTTCTTTTGATACCTTTGATAATTGTGTTTAAATATGATATATTGATAAATTATTGATCTTGTTTTGTCATTTCCGATTTCTGCGTTAAACTTCGTGTTTCAATATGGAAATCACTTCTTAAAACTATTCCCGTGAAGATCCGGAGTAGAATTGGTCTTCAGGAACCCATGCTTGCCGTAAAAGGCGACTATACTTGTCGTGTGAGGCGACTAACGGGATCGGGTTGTCAGGTTCGCCGACTTCGTTGATGCATGTCATCGTATCCCATTTGCGTGGACAATCCAGTAATTAATAAAATAAGCATCGATCCACGCAATTGGGATCGATGACATGCATCAACCAAGTCAGCGAGCCTGACCACCCGATCCCATTAGTCGCCTTTTACGACAAGCATAGTCGCCTTTTACGGCAAGCATGGGTTGCTGAAGACCTATTCTACCCCGGAATCTTCACTGGTATTTTACAGTTGGTAGAATGGATCGGTAACTGAGATTGTTACTGGCTATATCCTTGAAGGGGCTTAAAGTAGTTTAAAATTATTGTCCCCCTGAGAGGGTATGTAAGACCACATATTTCTTAGTATATTTATTTCTGCCACGTTTTTAATCGTAGCATATATATGTGTTGTTTTAATGTTTGGCTAAATTGGTCAGCCATCGCCAACAACTGAAGGGATGATGTAAATCCTGCTGGGGTCCATGCAGGTAGCAAAAGTACTGTAGGTCCCCATGGTCCCCAGCGCGGTGATCTACCTGCAGTTGGTGACGATCTATAGCCCGTTTTTATATTTTGTTGTTGAATGGTAATTTATTTTTACATGCTGTCAAACTAGTTTTTCGTAAATCTGTGATATTTTAGTTATTATACTGTCCTTCGATGGCAGAATTTTATACAGTTTAAATATATATTATTAATGTCAAATTTTGTCTCGTCACGATATGGCTGAAATTTTGCCGATGTGACGATGAACTCAACTCACTCACTCATGATCACTTACTCACCAATGAAGCGAAATTTGAAGCGACAACTGAAGATTTCATAATATACACCTTGTTATTTTCATTGTATGCAGAATCGGAAACATTAAGATAAACAGCATTTTAAATTACTATCTGTAATCACCCCTTGCCCGAGGATGGTGGCTTTCCGCTCATTTTCATGCGAAAATATCGTCATCGTTAGAAAGCTCCGAACATCAATAATATTACAATAACCTGACCAGCTGCATTTTCGTCGATGTAACATGTGATTTTAATGGGTAGAAATTGGTTTCTAATGACGATTTTTTATCGTAATCTGCAATAAGGATCGTGATTGGTCAAACTTACGCATGTGACCTTAGGCAGCCAATCAAATTACATTAAAGGATACCATACTCGCGGAAGATGCATTTCAGATTTAGACAAAAGGATTTTGGTTAAATCGTGTTACTCTGAATGCTTTAAACAGGAAGTAGCGACGGATATAAAATATAGGACGTATGACCTGTGACAAAAATTTCTCATGCATATATTTTGGCAATGAACATCGTGTCGGAGCCTAAAAGCCGAGGCGACAAAAGTCAAACGAAAAGATGGAAATATCAACTTAAATGTAAGTTTGAAAACTTTGAGAAACAGTTTTGATTATATTTATTTCTTTATTTATTAAATTTATACATGTATTTCTAATCTTAAAATTTATGACAATAAATGTGTGATGCAGTATGATGTGATGTGATGAATCTGTGATATAGTTCTAACCACAAGGAAGTGCATACTGTCTCTATCTTACTTCTTTCTCGCATGAAACGCAGTTCGCCATTTGGAATCCAGTGTTCTGCCACTTCTGCCAGTAATCTTTATAGAGATAGAAACGGTTCGAAGCTCTAATCTCCCATCAAAACAGTTTTAGTACCCAAATCCCCTTCTCCACTCACTACTTCTGCTCAGCTTGGATATACTTACCGGGTTATGTTTTTTAATAATGGTATTTACAAAGGATCCAGACCCGTGAAGATCCGGGGTAGAATAGGTCTTCAGCAACCCATGCTTGCCGTAAAAGGCGACTATGCTTGTTGTAAGAGGCGACTGACATGATCAGGTGATCAGGCTCGCTGACTTGGTTGATGCATGTCATCTTATCCCAATTGGGTGGCTCGATGCTCATGATGTCAATCACTGGCTTGTCTGGTCGAGACTCGATTATTTACTGACCGCTGTCATATAGCTGGAATGTTGCTGAGAGCGGCGTTAAACAACAAACAAACAAATACAAAGGATCCTGCAAAAAAAATACTAATAATTACCGTATTCTTTTAATTTAAAATACATGTATCAATCATGACGCAACATTCACATGCCTTCTGCCTTCTGCTCCGCTAAGTATTATTGGATTGAAAATATTAGTTATTATTATTTCAATTCACATATAAAAAAGTGTTACGTAATCAGTCCTGAATTTTCGACGAATTCATTGTAAATTGTGGATACGAATTGGCGGTTTCTATGAGTTAACCTTGTGTCCCAGAATGGATTTTTCAATAACAGTGCCTTAAATAGTAACGATTATAAATCTATCGATAAAATATGATAAATTGAAATGAAATACGTATTTTCAGACATTGTGAAAAGTGACACATATAATAAATGAATATGACTGTTAAGTTAATAATAACCATTTTATGATATTTTTGATGTTCAAGAACTCTTTTGACCACAGAAACCATCCGTTATATATCTTGTTCATCTGATGTACTTTGCATACATGCACTTCTATAACTGATTGTAAACATTCTCTAATAATTGAATGTTAACTTTCTATTGTTGACTGATTATATGAAAGACTTTGTGGCTGCCCAATAAACTCACTGTTTATTTACCCAGGTTTTGTGTTGTTGTGTAGGTTCGTCGTGTACAGTCGTACCTCTGCTCAGCGAACTGATCCCCCCTCACTTGCGTTAATAGGTTTGTGAATTCTTCAGATATCCCGACATTATTTGGTATGTGTTTTACAGCTTACTGAGGTGTGAATCAGCAACCAGTACAAGCAAAACAGTAACAGGCGACTAACGGGATCGCGTTGTCAGGCTCGCTGACTTGGTTGATGCATGTCATCGTATCTCAACTGCGTGGATCGATGCTCATGATGTCAATCACTGGATTGTCTGGTCCAGATTTGATTACTTACAGACCGCCGTCATAAAGCTGGAATATTGCTGAGTGCGGCTTTAAACAACAAAGAAACAAACAAAACAGAAAGCCATGTAACATCATCTAACGGAGCTGCACACATACCGCGTGGCAGTCCTGAAATGAAATCAGAGAGTGCGAGGCTTGCTCTTTATACCAGGATGAGCTTAGTCCCACATATATTTCTATATTAATGTGCAGAATACACTAAACGTCCTGTGTTGTTTGTTTGTTTACTACCACTGTTGGTAATCCTTGAACTCTGCGTTTTATATATCCACTCACGGACACAAGAAGAGCCGGGCTGATCTATTCCTTCCACAACGCTCGCCTCTGTGGTCTAGTGGACGTCTTATATATCCACTCACGGACACAAGAAGAGCCGGGCTGATCTATTCCTTCCACAACGCTCGCCTCTGTGGTCTAGTGGACGTCTTATATATCCACTCACGGACACAAGAAGAGCCGGGCTGATCTATTCCTTCCACAACGCTCGCCTCTGTGGTCTAGTGGACGTCTTATATATCCACTCACGGACACAAGAAGAGCCGGGCTGATCTATTCCTTCCACAACGCTCGCCTCTGTGGTCTAGTGGACGTTTTATATATCCACTCACGGACACAAGAAGAGCCGGGATGATCTATTCCTTCCACAACGCTCGCCTCTGTGGTCTAGTGGACGTCTTATATATCCACTCACGGACACAAGAAGAGCCGGGATGATCTATTCCTTCCACAACGATCGCCTCTGTGGTCTAGTGGACGTCTTATATATCCACTCACGGACACAAGAAGAGCCGGGATGATCTATTCCTTCCACAACGCTCGCCTCTGTGGTCTAGTGGACGTCTTATATATCCACTCACGGACACAAGAAGAGCCGGGATGATCTATTCCTTCCACAACGCT